CCTGAGGTTATCTTTTAAAACGCTTCTAAACGCAAACGCGCATAAACTCGGTATGCAAACTCAACTAAACTGACTTTGTTAACCTCTTCGCGCCGGCCACACGCAAACGTGCGGCCTCCCGGCATCTGGGCCTTGACACCGAGCGGCCGCACATTTGCGTGCAGTTAAGAAAAACATACGGTATGTGCTGAGACCCCGCGCTCTGCGTGCTCCCAGCACACATGTCCGATACTCACAGGAAGGTCCCGATCTCCTCTTTCGATCGGGACCTTTCCCGATCATGTGACCGCTGTGACGGTGAATCACGGCAGTCACATGACCTTCAAACCCCGCTCCGCCTCCCGGCTTCTGAAACCCTTAACCCCTTCACGCCGATGCCTCTGGGCCCTTTAAGAGTTCCAGAAGGCTGGGTTTAGGGTCATGTGACCGCCGTGACGCGCCGTCACGGCGGTCACATGATTGGGAAAGGTCCTGATCGAAAGAGGAGATCGGGACCTTTCCATGAGTATCGGACGTGTGCTGGGAGCGAGCAGGGCGCACGCTCTCGGCAGATATGTCCTTTTTTAATAGAACGCAAATGTGTGGCCGCTCGGCGTCTAGGCCCAGACGCCGGGAGGCTGCACATTTGCGTTCGGCTGGCGTGAAAAGGTTAAAGAGTCAGAAGGCGCCGGCACCAAGGGGTTAACCTACATTTTCCAGCAGTCAGTTTCTATCGTTCAGAAAGGTTTTCCAAACGCCCCGTGTACATGAGCCCCAAGACCACCCTGACCAAAGGGTGACAATGCTGCTGTGCGATTTCACAGCAGAACAAACAGCGTTGTCACCCTGTTACAGGAAATGGATAAATAAATCTACCTGAAGGAGCAGCAGGTAGCAGCATCATGTTAAATACTGCCGTGTTAATGCTACTAACAGAATGCATGATATGTGTCCTTTTTTTTTTTTATTTCGACCACAGAACGACCTTGTATTATCGCAAAGAATAGCGATCGCTTATTATATTTTTTTATATTCCCGTATATTATAAGCATGGCTGCACCACCATATTCAACCTCCAACAGATGAGAGCGGCTCGGTCCTGGCAGAACCCTGGAATAGAAACAGGAACGGTTTACATTGTACACGTCACCGGTGTGAACTAACCTTGCTGAAACAGGGACAGAGTCAGCGATGTGACCAGCAGGAAAAGCGCTTTGATTGGAGGGAAGTGCGCTGGCTCGTGCGCGAAGATGTGAACCAACTGCCAGAGAACACAAAACACACAAGATTTAGGACTGTGAAAAAAAAAAAAAAGAAAAAAAAAAAAAAAAAAGAAGGTTCTACCCGCGGTCCAATCATACCAATGATTAAACGGAAACTGGTAAGGACAGACATATGGGGGATGGTGCTGACAACTTGTCCTGCCAATCAGAGCTCTTCATCTTCCTCAAACTAAATCTTTCCAAAACCGAGCTAGTTTTCCCCCCAGCCCACGCCCCGCACCCCCTCCCAACATCAAGACCAACAATGCCACCATCAGGCCCACCCCGCAAGCCAGAGTACTTGGTGTCATCCTAGACTCCGATCTGTCCTTTCAGCCCCAGGTCCAATCGCTGACAAACTCATGTAGACTCCACCTCCGCAACATCTCCAAGATACGACCGTTCCTAACCCCGGAAACCACTAAGCAACTCATTCACTCCCTCATCATATCACACCTCGACTACTGCAACTCCCTCCTCACTGGCTTACCTCATCGCAGGCTATCCCTATCCCCGCTTCAGTCTATCCTGAATACTGCGGCCAGACTCATCCACCTTACTAACCGCTCCGTATCCACCACCCCCCTCTGCCAATCCCTCCACTGGCCTCCATTCAGTGTCCTCCACCCCCCTCTGCCAATCCCTCCACTGGCCTCCACTCAGTGTCCTCTACCTCCCTCTGCCAATCCCTCCACTCAGTGTCCTCCACCCCTCTCTGCCAATCCCTCCACTGACCTCCACTCAGTGTCCTCCACCCCTCTCTGCCAATCCCTCCACTGGCCTCCAGTGTCCTCCACCCCTCTCTGCCAATCCCTCCACTGACCTCCACCCCTCTCTGCCAATCCCTCCACTGGCCTCCACTCAGTGTCCTCCATCCCTCTCTGCCAATCCCTTCACTGGCCTCCACTCAGTGTCCTCCACCCCTCTCTGCCAATCCCTCCACTGGCCTCCACTCAGTGTCCTCCATCCCTCTCTGCCAATCCCTTCACTGGCCTCCACTCAGTGTCCTCCACCCCTCTCTGCCAATCCCTCCACTGGCCTCCATTCAGTGTCCTTCACCCCTCTCTGCCAATCCCTCCACTGGCCTCCATTCAGTGTCCTTCACCCCTCTCTTCCAATCCCTCCATTGGCCTCCATTCAGTGTCCTCCACCCCTCTCTGCCAATCCCTCCACTGGCCTCCATTCAGTGTCCTCCACCCCCCTCTTTCATTCCCTCCACTGACTTCCGATTGCCCAGCACATAAAATTCAAAATGCCAACACTGACGTACAAAGCCATTCATAATACTGCCCCAAACTACATCACCGATCTTGTCTCCAAATGCCACCCAAAACGTACTCTCCGCTCCTCACAAGACCTCCTACTCTCTAGTTCCCTGGTCTCCTCCTCCCATGCCCGTCTCCAGGACTTCTCCAGGGCTTCCCCCATCCTCTGGAACTCCCTACCCCAATCCATCAGATTATCACCTACTCTCCTCACCTTTAGGCGCACCCTGAAAACCCATCTCTTCAGGGAAGTCTACACCGTCCTCAGCTAATTGCCAATCTCCTCCACTCCTCCTACCACTCCATCCCCCACAGCTATTTCCTCCTGTACCACTATCCCCTCCCTCCTAGATTGTAAGCTCCAAGGATCAGGGCCCTCGAACCCCTCGTGTGTTGTACTGTATTGTTGCTGTACTGTCTCCCATTATCTTGTAAAGTGCTGAGCGAACTGTTGGTGCCATAAATCCTGTATAATAATAATAATCTTCAGTCAAAATAGGATTTACTATGCGCAGCCTTTTTCTTGTAGCAAATGGAGGACACAATCTTTCACCTTCGGGTTATACTGCAACCTACCGGGATAGGACACTGGCCAAAAAAAAAATAATAATTGTAGGCAAGCTCAGGAAAACACCTCCCACTACCAGCATGCCTGAAGTTTTATAGCAAAGCCATATAGACAGCATGATCCTAAAAAAAGAGGCAAATGATCTATGCAACTTCAATGGGACCACAAGAAAAGGATTTCATGGTGAGTAAAAAAAAAATCCCTTTTTTTTCCCCCCTCATCCATTGAGGGACACAGGACACAGGACGTATTCAACCTTTGGGATTTCCAAGAGAACTCCAACTGAGGGGTGGGCAACAGCAAATGCCAACAAACCCAACCTGAACCAAAACTGGGGACTGCCTATGGAAAGCCTCCTATGGAACCTTGGCTGAAGCCAGTGGATGAGGCTGAACCACCCCCACCTACTAAAGGAAATAAACTAACCAGACCAGGAGGAAAAGTGAAACTATGATTAACGCTTTATTCCAGGAAAGCATACTATGAATGAAGTCCAAGGAGCTGCATGACATCCCCTGGGCTTATCTCTGTTATTTACATTTGACAGGTTTACTGCTTTGCATGAGAGACACTCCAGGGATCTGAGAGGAAAGGAACAAAGAGCAGCTATGCCCACCTCTCCCCTCTGCTGCCCATTCACAGAAGCCTTTGTATTTTGTGAATGTGTTCACATAAAACCAAGGCTTCAGTGATCGGCCAGTAGGGAGGGTAGTGGCGGGCATAGCAGCTGCAGCGACTCTTCTGTTCAAGATTCATAGCTCAGAAGGATCAGCGTTGCTCATCTGGAAACTACAGCTGTCAACCGAGTTAAGTCCAGGAGGTGTCATGCACCTCACTAGACTTAAGGTGGTTCTATAGCTTTAAAGCGGAGTTCCACTCAACCTGTCAAAAAATAAAAGTCAGCAGCTACAAAAACTGTAGCTGCTGACTTTTAAAAAACAGCCACTTACCTGTCCTTTTGGTCCCATGGTGTGTCCCCTGCAGCTCATTTCACCGGCCGTCCTGTATTCCAGGAGGCCGGCAACTTCAGTGTGGGCACCGTGCTGTAACAGCTTGCGGCTTCACAGCCGGGTACCCACTGCGCATGCGCGAGTAGTGCAGCGCTGCACTTCACGAATGGTCCTGTAGTCTTCTGAGACCTGTCCCAAAAGACTACAGGGAGGGAGGGAGGACACCTTCCGCTTCCAATCGCCTAGGCGATCAGACTGGAAGTGGGAGCGGGTACCTGTCAAATTTGGGTACACACTCCCCCCGCCCCCCAAAAGGTGCCAATCCTTAATGGGGAGTGGGAGAGCAGTCCTGAAAGCGGAAGTTCCTCTTTTGGGTGGAGCTCCGCTTTAAGTTTTTTTTCACCCTAACGTATTTCTTACCTGAGCCCAAACCAATGCAGCGATGTGCACAAGAGCAGCGGCTCTGTCACCTCATTGGGCAGAGTAACAGCAGTGGGAGCCAATGGCCAAATGAGCCAAATGTTGTGACATGCGAGCGGGGCCAAGCCTCCCACTCTGTGTCAATGGACGCAGACAGGGAGGCTCAGAAGCGAGCCTGCATGGGTGCCCCCATGGAAATCGGTTTTCCGTGGGGGCACCCACCGAAGAGTAGAGGCCAGGAGCACAGACGGTGGACCCCAATAGAGGAGGATCGGGGCTGCTCTGTGCAAAAGCATTGCACAGAGCAGGCAAGTATAGACGTGTTTTTTATTTTAATTTAAAAAAAACAAACAAAGGTTTAATATCACTTTAACTTGTTGGGGTTGATTCACTAAAGGCAAACAGACTGTAAACTCTGCTAGCACAATTGCACTCATTTTCCCCAGAGCTTAGTGAATGCAGTGAAGCTTCACTTTGTAAAGAATACCCAATCAGGTGCAAGGAAAATAAAAAGTATTTTGCATGCACATGATTGGCTCATGGAAATCTGCAGAACTTAAAGCGGAGCTCCACCCAAAAGGGGAAGTTCCGCTTTAAGGACTGCTCCACTCCCCATTAAGGATTGGCACCTTTGGGGGGGGGGGGGGGGGAGCAGATACCTGAATTTGACAGGTACCCACTCCCACTTCCGGTCCGAATGCCTAGGCCAGGGGTAGGCAATCTGAGAGCCGCAGGACTACAAGTTCCATCATGCCTCTGCAAGTCATAGCTGTAACTGTCAGTTTTGTAATCTTTGCAATGCCTCATGGGAAATCTAGTTCCACAACAGCTAGAGAGCCGCAGGTTGCCCACCCCTGGCCTAGGCGATCAGAAATGGAAGGTGTCCTCCCTCCCTGTAGTCTTTTGGGACACGTGACAGGTCCCAGAAGACTACAGGACCATTCATGAAGCGCAGAGTTACTCGCGCATGCACAGTGGGTACCCGGCTGTGAAGCCCCAAGTTATCACAGCCGGGTGCCCACACTGAAGATGCCGGCCTCCTGGAATACAGGACGGCCGGTGAAACGGGCTGCGGGGGGGACACCACGGGACCAAGTTACAGGTAAGTGGCTGTTTTTTTAAGTCATCAGCTACAGTTTTTGCAGCTGCTGACTTTTATTTTTTAACAGGGTGAGTAGAACTTCATTTTAACCACATTCACCTAGTTCTGAGAGGAAGAAGAGGAAGGAAGAAGGAGGAAGAAGGGAGGGAGGAAGAAGGGAGGGAGGAAGAAGGGAGGGAGGAAGAAGAAGGGAGGGAGGAAGAAGGGAGGGAGGAGGAAGAAGGGAGGGAGGGAGGGAGGGAGGGAGGGAGGGGAGGGAGGGAGGGGGAGGGAGGGGAGGGAGGGGAGGGAGGGGAGGGAGGGGAGGGAGGGAGGGAGGAGGAAGGTCCCCCGGAACTTGCATTTTTTTTTTTTTTTTACTAAAGGAAACCGATTTCCTGGAATTCAGCTTTTTTGCCTGAGGACCAAGAGAAAGGTTACTTAGCTAGTGTGGAATGTTAGAGACACCAATAATAAAAGTGAGAAGCTGGTCAACCTAGCCCAACCAAGGTTGAAACAAACAAGTTGAATACAGGCAGTCTGAACCGTGGTCAACGAGGAGTAAAAGAACTCCCTCGTAAGAACTGGAACCGGACAGAGAACCCAAATACGATGTCCTGAAGAAGGAAAACCACAAAATCAGTCTGAAAATAAACAACGGCCCTAAGCCTGAACTTCTAGAAGGATCCAAGGAACAAGAAACGTGTCCATAATGACTTCCAAGCAGACGTTCCTCTCGATAACACAAGAACTATTTGGGAAAAACACCTCCAAGGAGTAGAATGAATCACTCCCAAGGACCTCAGGAACCAACGTTTGATGGCACAAAGTCAGCCTAAGCACTAGGATGAGGTACTGTACAAGGCAAATCCCATAAATGGGTAGGCAGGGAAGCTAGACTGCCTCAGAAGAGGACAGTAAGGAAGATCACAACCTGATAGGGTTGAAGACCAATCTCAACACACCCAGCAACTAGCAGTCATCCTTGGGATGAAGCCCTAAGCAAAAAGGTTTGAAAACCCGACTTGTCCTACAGACTCGACGCGTCACAGGCCTAAAGATGCTCCTGACTTCCCAGATACCACAATGCATCAGGATTGTAAAGCAACAGGCAGGAGACATATCAGTGAAGAACATTCAACTTGTTGAGCCAGAGCATGGAAGGTCACCAAAAGGTCCTCTTCTCGAATCTGCAAAGCAAACAAGGAGGAGGACACTAGACCCTGGTATGCAGATCCCACGGAGTGCTTGGATCATTGCCTGCGGCACGGAAACTAGCATGTTCAGCACATAGAAGGCTCTGGGTATCACGAAGCCTCTCCAACATCCTCCTCATGCAGAATCAGAACACAACTACAGTAGATGCCTGAACTTTTTCCCTATAACAAAAAAACTGACCCACTGAAGACCACATTTGACCAGCATAAAGCGTCAGGACTGGAGCACAAGGCTGAATCCAAGTTAGGACTCACTACCTTTCTTGCCACAGTAGGATCTCATGTGTATCCTCATATACAGGCCTAGGGCTCAGACAAGGCCAAGGGCTTTAAATTCAGAAATGTCCTGCAGTTGACTTGTTACCAGAATAGGGTCTGGATACAATGTTAAGCAGAACCAAGTGCTCAAAAGGTCACATCCAGGCTAGCCCTGTCCAACGGGTTCTGGTCCCGGTCAAACTGAGGATAGACCACTTCTTATTGCCGCTCAAGTTGCAATCACAGCTGTCCGAAGAGCCTTGAATGAAGAGAAAAAACTGAAGCAAAAACCATTAACAGCAAAATGTTGAGTTTTTTTTTTAATGCAGTAAAGCTGAAAGACACCCATCCTTCTAGGACACTGGCCAAAAATGGAGACATGCTGAATGTAGGAGGGTTTATCCGAGGCTGGAATACAATTTTCTCGTTTGCCAGTTTCAAAACATCCTGTAGGTGGCAGTATAACCTGACTGCTAATGACTTCCTGCATCCCTCAGAGGACCGGAAAGGAACATTTCACTTTATCTTGGTGACAGGTACACTTTAAATCAGGGCTGCTCAAACTGTGGGCCTCGGAGCCCTCTGATGTGGCCCTTGACCTCAAATTAAATGCAGGGGTTTTGGTGCAATTTCAGAAAGTGAACCACACTCACAAGATATAATTGAAGTCTATGGCAAAAAAAAGCCGCAGGTGCATCGCACCCACAGTGCGGCAGTATGAACGTAGCTCAGAGGGGGCTCATTTACATTTGTGGTTTTGGGGGGTGGTAAAATCCCATAGTTAAGAAGTGTTTTTACCACACACCCCCAACCACTGATGTAGCATGGCAACCCCGTCCCATGCTCCAGAGGGCCCCTGCGACCTTCCAGTTAGATTCTGTTTTACACTTGTACAGGAGGGGCGGCGAAGGCGGCATATACAGAAACCAGTCCTCTCCATTATTGCAACTGCAGAAAGCTGGGTTTCTCCTCTCCGTCCTGCCAGCATTCAGCATTCTCAACCCCATAGCTGAGAAGTGTTTTTACCACACACCCCGAAACACTGATGTAGCATGGCAACCCCGTCCCATGCTCCACGGGGCCCGTACGACCTCCCTGTCAGATTCTGTTTTACACTTGTGCAGGAGGGGCTGCGGAGGCGGCATATACAGAAACCAGTGCTCTCCATTATTGCAACTGCAGAAAGCTAGTTTCTCCTCTCAGTCCTGCCAGCATTCAGCGACTGTAGGAGGAAAATGTTCATTATGCTATTAAAAAAAAAAACTCGACATTCTGAACCATTTTCATTTCAATGTGGCCCACGACCGGCCCCACTGTCCTCAAAATGTTGGGCATCCCTGCTTTAAGTAGTGATATAATGGCACGAAAGAAGAGTGTTTTCTTCTACTAGTTTCCAAAATCTTTTTTTTTTTGTACAAATTACTGACCTGCCGTGTCAGATCGATGGCGCAGGCCTGCGGAATAGTGCTGTACATCTGGCCCATCATCTCGCATAACTGAGGAACCATCGGAGCAAAGTCGTCCAGAAGAGTCTTCACCGACTTCTCAAATATGGCGCACACTGCCTGTCATGGGAAATCTGGAGGTTAACCCCTTGGATACACCACCATCGGGTGCATTCGTTTACAAACATTGTTATATACAATCAGAATGAGAACCTCGATATCTGCCTCCAGTCACCACCTACACAGCAGGCGAGGAGAGGATTGGGAGAAGAGATCAATGTAAGGGGAAATTCGGGCTGGTCCGAGAATTAAAAAAAAGTGACCCCTGCCCCCCAAATATGCAGGATATAACATACTTTGACTAGGTCAGGGGTAGGCAACCTGCGGCTCTCCAGCTGTTGCAGGACTACAAGTTCCATCATGCCTCTGCAAGTCATAGCTGTAACTGTCAGTTTTGTAATGTTGCAATGCCTCATGGGAAATGTAGTTCCACAACAGCTAGAGAGACGCAGGTTGCCTACCCCTGGACTAGAGGTTCTAATACAAAGTATTCTCAGTTCTGCAGGCTTTTATTCTGCCGGTTCCAGGACTGTCCAACCAGTTTCCCAAAGCTGCACTGCCTCTCTGGTCATATCAAGGCCCCACCCTACCATTGTTTTCATTGCAGGACTAGGCAGCTCTGGTTATGAGCGCGAGATTGTGTGAAACGCGTTAGCAGGTCCTGTACTCCTCTCCTGGTGTTGTGTGTCCTATGGATCAATAAATACACACTATATTCATCTATCCTCCTGTGTGCGGCTGACCTTCTTCCTATTGCATCGTGTGTGTGGCGGACCAGAGCCGTCACCTGTTGTAGATGGTTTGCCTGAGCGGAATACCTTTGTTCTTTGGATACCGCTGGTCCTACATTGTACGGGATGACGTTGAGGGCCTGTCCACGTTCTGGGGCAGAGGAGAAGACGACTGGAGCATCACCCACTAGAGGGCCAAGGATTAAAGTAAGCATCCTCGGTTTTAGAACCACCAAGACAAACGATTGGGGGGGGAATGTCACCAGCACACCGAGGATCACCAATATGGGTCCAAAACATTTAATGAACGATCGCATAGTTACAGCAAGGCAACGTTTCAGAGTCTCATAGGACCCCTTCATCACACCTTGTGACCACATGCCTGATGAAGGGGTTCTGCGGGACTCCGAAAAGTTGCCTTGCTGTAACGATGTGATCGTTCATTAAAAAAGTTTTGAACCCATATTGGTGATCCTCGGTGTGCTGGTGACGTTCACCCTCGCGGATTCTGTTCGGTTCCAGCCGACGGACGCTGCAGCACCCACTTATACGCGCAGCCATTTGTAATGCAGGAATGTGTGCGTTTGGATTGTACGCTTGTTTGGGGAGGGGGGGGTGGTCACACTTTTTTTTATTCTTGGGGCCGGTCACTAAGTTTGGCTTTCACAAAAAGTGGTGTAACTTTCCAGGCTGTGATGTCTGGCAGAGGTGTTGGACTGCCAAGAGTATCTGAACAGAATTACAAATCCTTTGGCAGATCAGGCGATCCATACATATCAATCATTATATTGAGCGGGTTTCCTGGACCTCAGCTATTAAAGTGGTTCTAAAAGGTAGAAGGTTTTGCATTCCCTGCATTAAAAGGTATGAAACAGGGGCAGACTGACAACTCATGGGGCCCCCGGGCAATAGGGGATCATGGGGCCCCTGTGTCCTTGTCCAAACTCAAATAAGCCTATGAAAAAGGTACCAGGGGCATCTCATGGGGCCCCCTACTGACCCTGGGCCCTCGGGCAGTGCCTGAGTTTCCAAATGGTCAGTCCGCCCCTGGTACAAAACCTCCTGTGTGCATCCCCCCCCCCCCCACTCCCCATCCTTATACCTACCTAAGCCTGATCTCGATCCAGTGCTGTGCACAACAGCATCTCTCTCTCCTCAATGGACAGAGAGGCAGCGGCAGGAGCCACGGTTTCCTGTTGCTGTCAATCACAGCCAGTGAGGAGGGGGCAGGAAGGGCTGAGCCGCGTTGTGTGTGTCAATGGACCGGGCCCGCACAAGTGCCACCATGACATGAG